CGAGAACCGGGTGGTGGTCACCACGCGCGTGCTCGTCGGGCAGGTGAAGGAGGGCTCTATGGAGACTCGTGAGCTACCGAACCGGTCAGCCGTGCCGCTCGACGATCCAGAGCTGCCCGACGACCCAGAGCCTCCGGAGCCGCCCCGGAAGGCCGCGGATCCGCCGGCGCCGACCACGAAGGACGCAGAGCCGCCAGCGCTGCCGAAGGATCCGGAGCCGCCAGCGCTGCCGAAGGATCCGGAGCCGTAGGAGTCGGTACCGGCGGAGTCTGTGCCGAAGCGTACTTCAGAGCCGCCAGACCCGCCACCAGAGCCGTAGGAGCCGGCACCGGCGGAGTCTGTGCCGAAGCGTACTTCAGAGCCGCCAGTGCGGAACACCGTGAAACCTCCGGAGCTGGAGCCAGAGACGGAGCCTCCGGAACCTGAGCCGGAGCCAGAGCCGCCAGCGTAGGAGCCACCGCCGGCCGGAAGCGGCTGTCGGCCGAGGACCGTGAACTGTGGAGAGCTGATGCTGGACGCGACTTGGAACGCAGTGTTTCCGCCGGACGAACCATCGGAGCCGCCAGAACCTGCAAAAATATTTTTCTGGTCACAAAGGGTAATTATTTGATAGCCGACCACGCATTTCTGATATGGACCAGAGCACAACCAGATTAGACGCAATAAGCAAACTAACTTCTTAAAAATAAAATGATGCAACGCATGCGGTAGTTGCAAACCCGCGCCCCGCTGGGCTATTCAGCCATACGCGCCCTGCTTAAGCAGCAGTCAGTTCAGTTGGGCTTCGGCTCATAGTTCACATCAAATAAGGCACGACGAACAGCGTCCTACCAAAACAGGACCAAAGCTTCGTAACAGGGAACTCACCGAAACGGTTCGCATTGGCTTTGTTGAACTCGTAGCCTTGTCCGCTGGCAGACACGACCAAGCAGAGTAGCACCAGAGACTTCATCCTGAAATAAGTAGAACGGCTTCAGTCACACTGCAAGTGAAACACCACGCCAGCATGAACGACAGTTACCCCCGATTAAGTCGTGTAAAATAAAATTGCTTTATCAGGCACTAAAAATAGGCATCTGTTAACGCGTACTATACGAAAAGCTAGGAAAGCTCAGAGGAAACCAAAGTAATCTTGATCTTGAATCGACCATCAAAATTCAGTGCCTACAGCTCAAACTATCGCACTTTCCTTCACTTCCCTCACCTGACGATCAGCGGTTGCTCCGTGGTGATCCGGCCCGGGCACACGACTGGCTCCCCTCCGCCGGGCCGACCCCGAGGTCAGCGCCGGGTCACGTGAGCTCAGCTGTCCACGCCCCCCGGCTACCGCAGCGCGGCCGCGCGGCGTCAGCGGTCAAACGTGGGGCAGCGTCATAAATGGAACTACGGTCGTAAGGGAAAGATAACCATAGTTTTAGATAACATTATGCTGTCTCATTACAAGTATGGCTTATCTATAACCCATTTACGCCCTTCGTTGCGTTTTCGCAACGCAAGCAAGCGTCGACGTGATCGAAGCTTGAGAAGTGTGTAAAAGAGACTAACCGATGAGACAAGTTTCAGCGTGTGTAGCATGGTTGTGCGCATGATGCTACGCAGTTACAAGTCTGTGCGGCCGGTAAGTTACTGCCTAGAGCTCCCAGAGGGAAGTCGAAGGTTTTGTGAGTGATGACGTCACGAAAACCAAGATAAGTAGGCCAAGTGCTTAATAATATCGTAATGAAAATTGTGTAAACATACTCTGCAGAGTCCCTACAATAGCGTAGATATGCATTTTGTTAAGAAATAATGCTACAAAAAGGGTTTGTGACTATTTTCAAATATGACTACGGTCGCGTTGCGGGAACGCAACGAAGGGCACATCGGAAAGACAGCGGTGTTGCGAAAACGCAACGATGGGCACATTGGCAGGGTAGCGGAAGTATGAATATCACCAGTAGACTTCACTCGTGATACGCTGTGGGTTCTCTCTTTCTCTCCCCCATCTTCCTCCCTCTCCTCCTCGTTCCCCAACTCTCTCCCTCTCTCCCTCTCTCTCTCTCTCTCTATCTCTCTCTCTCTCTCTCTCTCTCTCTCTCTCTCTCTCTCTCTCTCTCTCTCTCTCTCTCTCTCTCTCTCTCTCTCTCTCTCTCTCTCTCTCTCTCTCTCTCTCTCTCTCTCTCTCTCTCTCTCTCTCTCTCTCTCTTTCTTTCTCTCTTTCATTTTGTAGCCATGAGGCTGTAGCGGCGGAATATCTTCAATTAAGGGGGGGGGGGCACTGCCGACTTTTGGTCCCATTCCTTCCATTTCCATTTCCATGCAACGCCTATAGGGATAATGTTAAAATGGCAAAATCAAGGAGGGCACGGTGCCTTGGTGCCCCCTCCCCCCCCCGCTCCGCCGCCTATGCCATGAGGGACGTGTATAGGATAGGTATGTTTAGTGCAAGGTGCGTTCGCACGTAAAATGTTGCGACACATTTCATATTTGCTGGCTCAAACAGCCACAAACACTCCTTTCTTTTTCTCTCGCAGATTATCGGCCTCGGGCTGTTCGTTCACCAAGCAATGTGTTCCCATGCGTCTGAAAATCGCATGGTAGGAAAAGGACCCATGCATCAAACGGTCGGCGATGCTAACGGAGCTGAGAGATTATTAGGTCCTTTGGAAATTGGATCTACTATGTACTTACATTGTGCATAAATAATAAATAACGGGGATGTATCCTGGTATCAGGCGACAGATAGGCATCGCCATTCTCTGGATAGAATCTGCTGACTACCAACATTTACGTTATAAAAGATAACTGAGGGTCGGCAAATAGTGGGATAGGCCCCCTCTGGGGGTAGCTGAGCCCTTCGGCAGGGGTAATGAGGGCGGACCTGGAAAAATAATAGTTTTTAGGATTCATAACTCGCATAGATTCATAAGCTACTTGATGTGGAGTATACGCTTGTTTTCTTACTTTGATAGGCTTTTTATCTAATCAGACCATTTTTAGAGCTAGCAGGATTATTGGAAATAGGGGAGACATTTGTCTGACCGGACACGGTCAATCGTAGACTGGAGACTGAGCCCAGCCAGTGGGCAGCCGCCACCCATGACCCACCCCCTTCCCCCCTCCCAAGCACTCACTGCACCCGGCTACAGGCGCGCTCCTATGTGAGCTGCCCGATTGCGATATACGTTGCCGGTCCAGCCCGGAACAGGGGGATGAGGCGTGGAGGAGGATTCAACTATCCTGAAGATGGAAAGGACGGATTGACGTCGAATCACCATTCTGTCCTGGCATTGTCTCGAGAAAGAGGTTACACGTGAAGGTCGCTGAGAGTGGGGCCATGAAATTTTTGGATTAGGTGTAAACATGATAAACTGGGAGTCGATTTGTTGTGATGCGCTACGCCTTACGCGGGTAATTTGTTAGAGCCGGATCGGTCCTTTTTTCTTTTTGCTGAGAGTGGGTACGACTAACCTGCAATGGAATTTAACTTTACTCCTAGGAGGGTGGTTAAAAATGATTGCGGATATACGCGCATACGAGAGGCACTGGTTTACTCCCAATCCTCCGTTTAATTGTATTCAGTGTGCACTGTGCAGGGTCTGATAGGTGGAGGTAATGGATCTGTCTAGCTTCCAAAAAGAAAGCATCACCCTGGATACGTGTCGACCACAACTTTAAATGAACAGCAATGGACAACGTAAATGGTTGATAATGACCGTGTTGCCATCTCCCCGTTCGCGAATCATGAAGTTATGCTTCCTCACTGAGGCTCTTAGGCGGGTTATAGAGCATGACGGATGTGGGCTCCGCATTTTCAAGCAATAGTTATCAACAGTTGATTGATGTTTTGTCAAAACATATTAGCATATACGGCAGTTCAGTGTACTTTATGTCCGTCTGATGTGCCCGTCGTTGCGTTTTCGCAACGCTGATGGCGCCCGGTGTGCCCTTCGTTGCGATTTCGCAACGCATGTTTTTTACGTTTTTCTCGAAAAACTTTTGCTGCGGGCAAAAATTATTTTCGATTCCATGCAAGGCCCTGGTAGGAGCATAACATATTTTGATTTCGTCGATTTTCATGATGGTCAATATTCCTGGGCATAAATGGGATAATAATGAGGGGATCCCTGCAGCTCGTGTTACTCACAACTACGCTAACAACAATGCGAGAAGTTTGATACAACACATTGACTGACTTATAAAAGTACGTTCCATCCATTCGTAGAAATTATGCGCTATGCCGAAAGTGCATTCTCAACACATTTGCACTCTTACATTCTATCGTGTGCTACGTTCATGGATACTCGCAATTGTAATGTTATCAGCATCAAGCATATGACCGTTTTTATCTGCACTTCTCCCTGTCATGAATTAACTATATTGAATAGGTACCTATTTCTATTTGCGAACTAGCGAAACAGTTCGTCTAGATATTTCTCTTCTGCAGATCTGGCCGCGTTATTGGTTATTGGCATTACTTAGGTATACCTAAGTAATGCATTCGCCTACTAAAGATAAAATCATCCATGCACCTACCCCATTAATCACGTTCATATATCGCGCTATGATGTAGACGACAATCTATCATAAAGCCTTGTTTGGTACGGGTTATGTGGCTGTGGCTCGTTTAGGTCACGGTCCGATCACGGCTGAGATTAACCTGTTGCCTCCGTGTCGATACCCAGCCGGCCCGGAGATGACCGGACAGGTGCAGCGCAGGCGCTCAGTCCGATCAGCTGACGCGGCCAACAGCCAGTAGCCCCCAGTGGGTCACGGCTGTGCGCAGATGGGCAACGCGTGCGATATGCGTGCGGCCGCGTCGGCGCCCTCGTCGCGTGGTCCACCTGTTTGTATTGGAGCCCCGGACGGCCTCCGCGGCGGCGGCACACATTCCGCCTGCGGCGCTGCCAAAGTCGACGGCGTCGCCGCGCAAAAATACTCGTCGGCATCGTCGGCGTGCGACGGCGCCGACGGGACGAGCAGTGGCGCGCGAGTGTCGAGCGGCGACGAGCGAGCGGCGCCGGCTGGCTGGTGCGGCGCGGGCCCTGGTGCCGTGTGTGAGGGGTGGTGTGGTGACCGGTGGACAGAGTGGTGCTGGTGACGCTCGGATACGACCTGGGCACTGCAGAGGAGAACATCTGCTTCACTTAACGTCTTTCTTGGTGAGATGAGTCGCCATGTGATGCAATGCGAACTTTCTGTTGAGAATAAGTGACATTTTAGATTCAATCAGATTGGATAACTTCTGAGTTGGGTTATTATCTCGACTCATAAGCCAAACCACCAATGTTCGTGGCTAGGATTTTCAGAGTTATTGGCTGCAGTCGTTTCAGAATGCATGGAAAAGCTGTTTTTAAAAAAAGCCTTGGTCGTTGCACGGCATCTACTTAGCAGGATTTTGAATTATATCGCGGGCATGTCACTATAAGTAGGGTCAGGGCTGGGTCAAGGACAGGTCAGGGCCGTTTCTGGGTTAGGTTACGGCTTGGTCACGGTAAGGTCACGGCCTGGTCATGGTTACTGGTTAGGCCACAGCTACTGTTAGTCACGGGTTGTGTCACGGTTGAAAATCAATGTATCAGTTTATGCGTGAGTGAGTGATAAGTAATGTTAATGCATGAGAGCTCACGTGAAAGCCGACGCCGTGATTTGGAAGTGACAAATGAAGGCAAACTTGTTCGCAGAGCAAATAGTATTCTAATCACTTTTGCCATTTTAGTTTGCGCCAAATGATCGGGTCGGTCTATTTCAGCTTGAAACGTCTTCTACTAAACATGCGCAAAAAACGTGAAGAAAATTCGCCAGGGGCTGAGACCTGAGTGATATGCACCGACCTTTTACCGTCAGCTGGAAAGTGGAAAGTGAAGCCTTAAAACTTAATTAAAACCTTAGTACTTTAATTAAAACTTTAATTAAAACCTTATCGTATGTTATCCCTGGTAGCGTAACCTGAAATATGAGCTATGCTCGTGAAATAGCTGTGGTTATTTTCTTTCTGGTTTTCGAATTTTTCTTTTTTTTCTCTCTCTCTCTCTCTCTCTCTCTCTCTCTCTCTCTCTCTCTCTCTCTTCTCTCTCTCCCTCTCCCTCTCTCCCTCTCTCCCTTTCCCTCTCCCTCTCCCTCTCCCACTCCCTCTCCACTTCCCTCTCTCTCTCTCTCACTCTCTCTCTCTCTCTCTCTCTCTCTCTCTCTCTCTCTCTCTCTCTCTCTCTCTCTCTCTCTCTCTCTCTCTCTCTCTCTCTCCTCTCTCTCTCTCTCTCTCTCTTTAAATGCCCTTGTTGACATAACCGGCTTGACGAAAGGTCTAACCCCCGCCGGCCGAGGGGAGGGTGGATGCCGGTCCCCTCCTGACGTTTTGTCGCGATTGCTCGGAGAGCGCTGGCGACATGGAGCTAAACTTCGCACACCTGTCTTGATACAAGCCAGTCACAGTCGCTTTGACTGGCTGTAACCGTGGCGACTATGACTGTGACAATAACTGTGGTGACTACTGACTAGACTACGTACGTGACTGTGTGACTATGACTGCGACTCTGACTGTCACGGTGGTGATTGCCATTGGGACTGTGACTATAACCGAGACTGGGACTATTGCTGTGACTATAACTGTGACTGTGACTGCAGATTTGAATGTGACTGCGACTGAATGTACTGTGACTGTGACTGTATTTTGGCTGTGAACTGTGACTGTAACCGTGGCTGTGACTGTGACTGTAACAGTGGTGACTGATTGTGACTGTGACTGTGACTGACTGTAGCTGTGGTTGTGGCTGTGTGGACTGTAACTGTGACTTGTGTCTGACTGTGGCTGTGACTGTGACTTAGGTAGCGATATTTCTTCGGTGACTTGGGTTGTGGTAAATGTGACTGTGACTGTGACTCTGTGACTGTGACGTAGCGACATTCCTGTGTGGCATGTGGCGGGCGCCCCGGGCGGACCTCGGATGACGCTGTACCGGCGGCGGCTAAGAATAGGCCTCCGCTGGGTGACACGGGCACCCGCTGAGACGCACGGTCAGTGTCCTTACACTGCGCCCGTCGTTGGTCGGGGGGGGGGGGGAGGGGCGTCCCAGACGAGGGAAGGGGCCGGTGCATTTCGCTGAGACACACTTTCCGTCATCAGACTCCGGTTATATGACACCTCGGCTTATCAACTCATCGGCCGCGCCAGCCAAGCAGAGATCAAGTTTAGTCTTACGGGTGTCTTCTTCTCAGTGCATCTGCCAAGGCTGGGTTGGTGGCCCCAGCAGTCACATGGAATTCTCAGAACGTCGAAGGCGATGAGGCTTATAGTCACGTGGGCTGCCCAGGACTATGACAGAAGTAACGGACGTCGGATACATGCTAGATGACACATGGGGTCTACAACTCTACAGAACTTCGCATGGTTATTGTGGACGAGTCATGACGTGGATGTTGAGGGAGCTGGTTGCAAATGCAATTCGGACACAAAAAAAAGACCGACGCGTACCCCTGCTGTCACAGCCTAGCAATTGCAGAATCGCATTCGACGGTTCAATGTTACATATACATACATATGTGCGCAATTATCTTATTCACCGCACTCCTGTTAAAAGAAAAACTTTGGATTAAAGGGACCCTCCCACCTTCAAAAAAGTTAATGAATTGGCATAAAAGTGATGTAGCGTGAATCACAAAGAGCGAAAATGAACATCTACCAAATTTTACCGGAAAATATTCACCCGTTTTCGAGATATAAGACTTTTATTTTTGTTTACTTTTTGGGAAATCCGCTGTTTCTGTGACGTCACATAAAGGTTTTCTTTACGTCGGCATTTGGAAGCAATAGTTTGGTATCAAAGTGCGACAAATATTGCGCGAATGATGCGTTTATCTTATCAAGGTCAATATATGATGGCCAATAAAGGATTCCAGGACAATTCTTATGGCATTTCTTCGTATCGCAATTCTTCGTCTGCAAATCTTCGTCAGGGCATTTATTCGTACCTATCGCATTACTTTGTCTCGCACCAGGGTATATGAAAATCGGCTCGCATTTCTTCTTCAACGCAAATATATGCAAGAGTAAGCATTGAGGGACAAATAAATGCACCGACGAAGATTTGTAGACGAAGAAATGCGGACGAAAAATTGTGCTACGAAGAAATGTCATGCGAGGATTCGTTCGGGTACCATGACATTTAGGGGAAAGTGGGGTATGACGGGCATGTTAGTTTTGCGGGTCTGTACCTCTGAAGTCTTTTCTTCGATTGCTTCACCAATTTAGCACAACCATCTTCAGGCATTTTTCTTTCAGTGCCCCTTTGACACCTAAGGTCTAAATCCAATACTTTTCAATTGAGAGTGTTTTTAGCAAGACCCTGCAAAAACCCGTCTTACCCCACCGGGGAGGGTAAGACGGGCACTGATGTTGGGGCAAGACGGGCACAACGTTAGTTTGAACTTCTTTACATATTTACTGCCGAATAATTATGCTAATACATCTTACACATCTGGCTTTTGATCTTACAGTCAATATTGTAAGGTTCGTAGCATCGCACGGCTACTTATAGGCGTAATGGTATTGATCGATGTAATGAAAAAATTAAACAAATTCAAAGCTGTCTATTTAAATAATTTCGATGGAAATGCGTTGCAAATGATGTAGAACAGCGTAAGTTAGCTTAAAATAACAATATCAGATGGTTTGCATTCCTTTCATCATTGTTGCCCGTCTTACCCCATTCGGCTGCCAATAAGGATATCACACCGCCTCCGGGCACCAAATTAAAGGATTCATTCGCCAGCATACACATTTGGATGACACCCTAAGACGAAACTCTCATCAAATTTCCAAAACAAAATATGAAACAGCGAGGTCAGAAAACACTACGAAACACGATAGTTCTGCTTAGAGTGCAAGGCACGTTTTTAGCTTTTCCACAATTTTTCAAAAACTATTTAAGATGCGTACCTCTGCCTTCACCTCACAGCAAAGAACCACACGGCCGATTACCAACCACAACAAGAGGTTGCTAGCGCCAACGGTTTGGGCTAGAGGGCCGGTGCCCGTCTTTCCTACCCCGCCCGTCTTACCCCACTTTCCCCTATGTGATTTCAAAGTCAAGGTTCACAGGGTTCACAGCTGATCTGCTAAATCAAGCCAAGAATCCAAACTATCAAAAAACTATAAATATTTGTTTGTCTGTCACAGAGGTCTCAAGCAATATAAGGTTGACATATGTTGAATCAAAAATCTACTGCCACAACTCACATCTCCTGCCTTAGTTTATCATTGTTGTTTTAACTTGCTTTCAAGAGAAACAGAAGCCAGTATCTGATATCACTTCAGATGATTGTTTCAAGATCTGAGTTCAAATGGAAATAAAAGCAAGATCAAGATGAAACAGGGATTATTGCTGTTAAAGTAGTTTGGCCATGATACAACAAGCACATAAATCATTAGCCAAATCAAATACTGGTTGGTTTGTCAAGATGTTTGTTGTCTGTCGTCTGTCAAGCTGCTATGAACACTGAACGCTCTCACTCTTACTTTAAAGAGAGTAGTTTAAGTTGAATGGTAGTGAGCTGTAATTAGACAAAGCAGCTATTCAGTGCTCACATCAAGCCAGGCTAGGAAATGGCATCAACTGTGGTGGGAGGAAGCAGGTTCGGCAGCCCTATGTTGTAAACTTCTGTTATGTCTTGTGTTTGATCAACTGATGTTTTCTGCTCTGTTTTGTGCAGTGATAGTAGCAGGTAACTGCATGCTTGTCAAATTATGTGAATAAACGAATTCATAACATTGCATTTTTCTCTCCATGCAAGGAACAAGTAAGATGTTGTAGAAAATGTAATAGAGGGCTGCATTGCTGATTTTGCACTTTATCAGAGCTTTATTTAGAATTGCTTTCCTGAAAGCTACACACAGGCCAAAGTGCTGAAATTCACAATGTCATAGCTTTTGGCAGAAAAAAGAAAAGACTTACCAAGTTAAAATTGGCTGAAAGTATGGCAGAGCAGGTCTTGATGCGTATGCCCATCCGTGTGCTTGCCGAAGCCGAACTGACTGCAACACATTTAACTCTGACCCACCATGGTGGCTGGCATATCCTGAACTTTCACCACTCTAAACAAGACAACTTTCAGCCCTCAGCATTGTATTAAAACACTGTACAAATGTTCGGAACACGCATTCTCG